AACGTTCTCAAAATATTAATTCATCCACTAGTTGAAAACAACGGTGCTTGACTTCTGTCACTGTCTTCACTTTTAATGAGTTTAAAATCGGTCTTAACAAGCGGTTACAATCAATTATAAAATCTACCTACTTTAAAAAAAATTGCCGATGGAATGCTCAAAAAGAGTTTGTAAACACTTTAGGTAATACCACAATAAACCATCAGCTACTTGAGAATGCATAAAAAAATCAATTATCACCACCGACGTCAAGATAAACTAGTGGCCCTTATTTTGTTTTGACTAGTATACAATTAGCACTTTTCAGAATTAAGTTTAACGTGATGTCGTAACCAGAGCAAATCTGTACTCAACAAATTAAGTTAACAGTTCGGCGCGCTGTTAGCGACCCGAACGATCGACGTACAAATTAACACGGCGAACATCGATTGCATGTACAATGTGGTAATAGTTTACTTTAATGCTCTCCTATTCGACAGGGTATAGGAAATCATGACTAAATGAACACTTTTCGCTGAAATTCAAACTAAATGCTCCTGAATTATTCATTTTGAATTCTACCTAATAACACACTATTTCTCTGTTCCTGTTATTTTCTGTTGGTCATTAAAAATCGATTGATATTGTATCAGTTTTTGTTGGGTTAGCAGTAGTTTGAATTGTTCTAATATTTTTTGTAAATATATAATTTATAAAAAACATTACAACAATTCAAACTTCCATTTAATAAGTGGTGAACTAATCCTATCTCATTCATAGCACTAGTATTAGAACGACAACTAAGTCGCTGTTGCAGTCAAATTGCAGTATTATTGCCGCAAGAGAAACGAATGTTCTCTACGTAGCGGTTACACAGAATAATGAAAATTCACAAATGAGTGAACGCAGTATTGCAAGGATCCTTCGTAAACGTTTGTTATTCGCTAGTTCTGGTTTCTACGAACAAATACCTATCTCTCGGATTATTGTTTCATTGCTAACCAATTTCAGTTTTGTTACGAATAATACACGTGCGGAATATTATTGTCGGACGGGTTTTAAACGTCTGATTTTGATAAATTTACAAGCTTACATAAAAGGCGCTTATTTTTAATTTTAACCAGAACATTTTATGTAAGAGTGGCATTATCATTTTTAAGCAAAGTCGTATGGCTTTTTCTTTTCATGAATAAATATTAATACAGTTAATTTGAACTGGTTATCAAGACCCATAGTAGTCATAAAGTGAACTTTGCTAAATACTTCGAGACATGAAGAATCTCAGGATGGTCACTATGATATTGCACATGATTTTGTGTTGTCGATAGTAGATAAAAGCAGGTAAGTGCCATCTTTAAGTCAACAGCGGGGCCATTACTCAGACTATAGCTTGACGCATTTAAGTTCCAATTAAGATGCATTTTAATTGATCTCAATGAAGATAAAATTATTGTCACGTGACTTAGAGCCAACCGTTGAGTGCCACTCGATCAATCATAGCAATAACCGTTACTCAGCTGGTCAAATACAAAAGGACGGCTCGTAACAATGACTATGGATTCTCTCAACTATTCGAATTGTTCGTTTTGATCATTGTTACAGACTTTTAACGTGGAATACTATGAGCGATTTTTAGTGGCTTCCATTTTTAGTAGTTACTACAAGAAAAAATGACTAACAAAGTGACCAGGGCGTAAGTGCCATCGCTCACCTGCTGATTGATATTGCTAAGCCGCTAATAATCATTGAACTATATTTTATCTTTGCTGACTAGTTTATTTAATGACGTAAATTCTATTTAAACTTTTACGATAAGCAATACACGTTCATCAAATTAGTTCATAGTACAGTGATTGTCTGAAACTATACGAGTATATATATATATATGTTATGTGTGTACTATTAACTATTAATATTGTACTTAGTTAACCGGCGAAAATTAGCATAATATCTGTTACGCTAAACTGAGAATATACGGTATGTCAGCAAGATGACTCGTAATTAAGGCTTTTGTTTGTTAACGGACGAAGACGAACTAAACGTGTGCAATTATTACCAAAGACATCCTATTATTACTTTTTTATTGCATATATGGGTGGACGAGCTCACAGCCCACCTAGTGTTAAGTCGTCACTGGAGCCCATAGACATCTACGACGTAAATGCGCCACCCACCTTAAGATATAAGTCCTGAGGTCTCGAATATAGTTACAGCGGCTATCTCACCCTTCAAACCGACACGCACTACTGCTTCACGGCAGAAATAGGCAGGGTGGTGGTAACTACCCACGCGGACTCACAAAAGGTCTTACCATCAGTAAACGAAGCTGTGTTCCTAGTTGAGTACTTTTAGATTTTTAATAGAACTAGTCATTCATGGCTCATCATGATTGGCCTATACATTGAATTTACTATTACTGATTTGTACAGTAGTAGTTTCATACCTGTCTCGCAGTATTGACATGTCAATTGAAATCAATAAACAGATAAATGGAGCTTAAAATATTTAAAACATATACTATGTAGGTATGTATATTTTTGAGCCCGTTTCCTCGGACATTGTGTAGCTAGACTGAAACGCTCGTTGAGATTTCTATCGGGTTTTACTCGCTTGCCAATATAGGGAAGCTTTGGTTTCGAGTGCGGTTCTCGATGCGGCGTGTAGTACGGTGAGCTGTTTGCTCAACTAAGTAGACGACTAACGACGAAAGCAAATGTTTGCATTTAAATGGCACGAATGATTCGTAAAATACATTTGAAACTTATTGGCTTTATTCACCGTCTCGAAGTATAAATTACATTTTCTTAAAATTTATATATTTAATTCGCTTCACAACGAAACGGTATGTACATATCTCAATTAAGTCATTTTATTTATTTATTTATTTATTTATTTATTTAAGAATTACCGACAGGGTTTACAGTAAGACATAAAATAACATTGACATGTATAGAGCAATTGATAACTGCAACTCTAATTAGAGGCAATCACAGCATGCATTACATTAATATATCAATAGAGATTTAACAATACTATTAATAATAATGAAACAAATGAAAAAAATAATATAAATGAATCTAAGACGAAACCGCGTATTGGAAAGCCGTATTTGATATTATGCTGTTGTTACACTGTTTTTATCTATTTTTACGTAGCTAAATAATTAAATTTACGATTTTTTTTTAATTTCAGCTAATGCGCTAGCGTCAAGCAACTTCTCAAGTAACAGAAAAAAATATTGAAAATCATATGGCCATAATGAAGGATTTATTCATTTGGTAAAAACAAATAATAAATTACGTACGACTAGGCGTACGGCTCGTAAGCAAGGACCTCGTTAATGGTGGCTCGAAGATACTTAGGCTTCACAAGTTAATTGTATCTCAATGCACTTCGAGTAAAGCTAGTAAGTTAGGCCCATTGCTCACACGCTTGTATTCAATTTGAAGCAAATATTTGTGTTTACAACTTGGAGTTAAGTTACTCGACGGCTTCTGGCGGAAATGAAATGACGTCTACCCGTTCAGTTCTTTAGATTACCGTTTAATATCAATATGTAACTTATTAATTTTTGTTTGAGATGTTTTTTTTTTAATCTATCGGAGGGAGGCACGCTTTAGACGCTAGAACGCTTTTGACTTTCCTCCCCCCCATAATCGTTGATAGCCTGAAGGGCTATTCCAACCACGCGCGGATTGGTAGGTGAACTCACGGGGCTTAGCTTGGGAGGATTTAATAACTCTAGCCCTAGCAAGAGCAGCGCTTCGATGAATCTACCAGCGGATCGAAAACGCGACCCTTTGAAAAAATCGAGCGAGAAATTCAATGGGTTATATCTAAGGGCTAGGTTGCACCTCGAACTCTTCGTCGCATTCAACAATGGACACGTAGAAACACGACTTCATATTATCTACACACAAAAAACATGATGTTACGCACGCACTTTCTACAAGCACTTTTTTAAAGGAACTTTTTAAATTAGGAGTTCATGTTTGTAGTGTTTATTTTTATTTTTATTATAAAAATTTTTATTTAAGAAATTATATGAATTATAGTGACATTTGTACAGTTGATTTTTACAAGACTTTATCCAGACTAGCTGCCTGTTTATAATGTATTGTAATTACTAGATTTTACCTAAGAAACTATAAAACTATGACTTAAAAAACATTTAGACATTTCTCTTTATTCTTAAATTTGTATTAAACTTATGATGAATTAATTGGCATAATACCACAAAATAGGATATTTTCTGAAAATATAGTGAAGTAGAAAATATAGTGTTGCAGAGTGGTTATGTATATGATAATAAAAATAAGAAAAACAAATTAATGATTCTTACTAGCATTGCTGATTATTGCTGATATATATATACACGCATATATAGTTAATCATCGGAGTAGTTGGTACGGTCACAATATTATTTATATCGGTGCATTTTACTATCATATTGAACATAGTATTTAATTTTTGGCATAGTTAACCTTAGCTCTAATATTTAATTTTCTATTTTGATCATAGCATATTAATGTCTAAACAAATAATATCAGAAAATTGATATACACCTATGTGAAACCAAAAAGTACAACTTTGGTCTATAGTGGTAGTGGAAAAGAAGAAAACTCATATAGCAAATAAACTAATTAGGACCTAGACTTAATTTTGGGGAAATTATAAAAATAATAAAAGTTTTTTTTTAGGAAGTTTTTAAGATTACTCACCATCTCGATGAATTTCGAAGAAACGGCATTTAGTTCTTGAATCTTCATGAAAACTTTGTCGTAACTTAAAGTCCAATAAAACTTAAAACGATAAAATTTAATAATATTTTATTTTTCCTACTTTTTATAACAACATTCTCGCCAATAATATAATTCCAGATACTAAATATATTTATGAAAATTATAACATAGCGCTAACAACTTTTAAAGAAATATTTCACCTATAAAAATAGTTGTAGGTCTAATAATAAATATCATTCTTGACAAAACTATATAGGAATTCGTGAAACAACCACCTACCTATTACAAAACAAAAGGTGAACGCCAATACGTAAACAAAAGATCGTTTTACTAAAACAAACGAATAAATTGCTAAGCGATAAGACGTGATATCTTTAACTTATTTTCAAATTTAAAAATATTTTATTTGTGTTAACATACATTGCGAAAAATTCACATTTCACTTCTAATAATCTTCTATCACACTAGATTGGATTCAAAAAATCTTAGTCTACGAGCATGTCTTTTATCAAATCGTGAATTGACAGGTATAACAATTTAGCTCCCACTGCATTCTGGTCTGGCTTACGCCATGTTTGCGAAGTAGGTTTCGGTATTGCCAAAGCTATTTTAATTTTCCTCGCAGCTATATGATTTTTTTTTGTAGTAAAAACAGTTCACCGAAAAAAACAGTATTATTTACACAATTACGTACATTTAAGTAAAAGACCTTCAGAAATGAAAACATTAATAGTAAAAATATATTTGTCGCCTCCAAAAACATACCCCGATTAAAACTTACTTCTCAATAATTGGAAAATTTGCCGACAATGCATTGGTTCTTCAAAGAATGAGAGTTGAGTAAAGTAACTAGGGCAAACAAAATCGACTAACAAGAAAAGCTAATTCAATGGAAACTATAATCCGATAGTGTAATTTTGAGCTAGGGTTTTATAAATCAAGTATTTAATTTTTTAGTTTTTAAAAAAAAAAGACTTATATTAAGAGTTTTCATACTTCAAATTTTACTAGTAGCTGCTACGCGCTAATAATGCTGTTCACTGTTTGTCGTATTTATTGCAGGTTGCTTTTTGCATTGCTTAATATTCTTAATAAATGTAAATCATAGCTGTACAAATTGTTTAAAGTAGGCAAACTTTTCTGAGTGCACCTCGGAGTCCTAAAGTTATTCTGATAAAATCTTGATTTGTTAAAATAGGTTAAAGTGATTCACTGATATCGCTGTAAGGTACCCAACCCTCTAACATCACAAAATAAGTGGAGAAAGACAATATGGTAAACAACGACGCTTTAACACTGTATAAACATTCCTGATCCTGCGGACAGAATGGAAAGCAATCGACGTCGCTCAAAACACGTCATTTTGGATCCTCCCGATCCATTGACAGTGCTTTTAGGTGCCTCAAGCACTGGTCATCGTTCGACGAGTAAATTAACCCTCAGACACAGCCCATTGAGTTGCTCTTTCGCTAGGGTTCGTGTTAGCAACGTCATCAGGTTTGAGCCCCGTGAGCTCACCTACTAGTTAAGATTACGCTGAAATAGCCTCTCAAGGCTCTCAGGGTAAGGAAAAAAACTGTATAAAGATAAAGTGATGCCAAATGCACAAGTTTTATATTTCAGGCGGGCATTTGACCTTCAGCTTTTGTCTCGGTCACTCTGGCTGATGTTCCCATTTGGCAACCTATGTTGAGTTTATCTGGGATAACATCAAACAATCACATCCGATAACTTTGCTGTAAATATTACCCAGCAACACTGCATTGAAAAAAAGGATTGTGTGGTTTTATGAAACCAAGATAAAATGAAACTTTTTTTCACTTAAAGACATTTAACTCTGACAAACAACATTTACATTAAGCACTAACAAATACAAACAAAATAGCGTGGAGCACTGGCACAAATGAGTAATAGTCTATACACTACACGGTCTACGTGAACTATAGGCGCCGCCATATTGGCCTTGGCTGCTCTGATGAGCGCCTTTCACTTTATTCCTACTCCGTGGCCGACTGTCACGCGACATGCAACACACAGACGAAAAAGCTTGAGACGAGGTAATAAAAGTTTCACTTTAAATGGGAGACTTTCCTGCTTTTCGATCCTACAGACAGAAACATTGTAATAGCTGTTAAATACAAAAAAAAATGTGAAAGCAGCGATAGAGAGGATAGAGGAAATAGTCATATTCTCTTTTGAAGAGAAAAAATTAAGGCTTCGTCCCAATTTCGTACCACCTTGTAACTTTAAGGTAGTGCCCATATTTTAAACTAGATTTTTGTAGCTGGATTGGATTGTTGTGACAAATCATGATTGAGTTTTAGATTTTCTGTAGAACTTTAAAACAATGTACAAACTCCCACAGTAACTTTCTCTTCAGTAATAGGATTTCAGTTAGTCGAATAAAGGACTATCATTTCAGCTGACTAAATCGCCTAAGAATGTGACAGCTGCGAAGAAATGAATTCATTCGATTCTAATACCTATACATTCACATTCACAAACGAAACGATACAAGAGCAACACAAACTATTTTCGTGCCCAATGCTCGTACGGTATACAAAAACAAAACTTATCTCCCGCGGTGCATAGATTTTTATCAAAAAAATTAAATTAAATAATTATTATTTCTGGATGTGTAAGTGACCTCGCGAATACGATGGGTAAGTTTAAATTGTTATCTTATTCAATTCTCTTTGCGTTGTCCATCTACATTAAGTTTGATTAAACTTAGGAGAGTATTTTTAAATTATTTGTTTTTTCCAGAAAGTATAGGCGACGATCGAGAGAACTTAAAGGATTTTCTTGAAGAAGCTGAACTTCAACAATACCATGAGCTCTTTAGGTAAAATTAAATCATAGATTAGTTATTTTATGCTGTTTTAAACTCGTCCTGCTGTGCTTTGGCGTCCATGTACAAATTAGAAACTTGGAGCTTTTAGATGTTGCGCTCATTAATTTGTGTCATTTTTTAGCTGAAGCGAAATTTTTGTTTTGTTTTGCATTGGCTTCCTTTCGTTATTTAATGCGTATGATTTATTTAGATTAGTGCTATCAATTATTTAAATTATACTTTAAACATTATACTTTACCAATTTCTCTGTTTAAAACTAATACAGTCATAGCTCAATAGCTTAAAACACTTTGAATGACACTAGGTAAAAAACAATGTTTTGTTGAATTGTTTATTAAATTCAATATGAGCAGTTTTGTTACTGAAACTTACTTCTACAATATATGTAATTTTAAATAATAAATAATGTTATTGTAATATACTATATTAAATATGATAAAGTGAATATATAATATTAAAAACCTTGAGATTAGGGACTGATATTTTAGTTTTCAAACCCCAATGCATGTCTTTTTCCATCATCCAAAATAGCTTGAAAAGTATTTTTTTCTGCGGTAAAATCAGTTTATCACTCTATCTAGATATACTTTAAGGCTATTTACAATATAACTTAAGAAGGAGGATGATGGAACTTAATAACGGCTTCTACGGGGCATTTTCCACAGTAACCTAGTATAGCAAACAATGCATGTTTGTGAAAATTTCTGTTATGTTGTGCATTCTTAATTACTATTCCTTTTCAGAGATGTCTTGAAAGTGACAAAACTATCGCAATTAAAATTCGTCGTGACAGAAGACTTGGTACAAATTGGCTTCTCGAAACCAGAACAAAGACGATATAAAAAAATATATTCCAAATATTTTCCAAATCCATACATCACCAAAATAAAGAGACTGCTTAGCTCTAGTAAAAAGAATGATCCGGTTAGTGATAGGTTTTATAAATATATTGTAAAGCTATTGTGTTTGTTTGTGTTTCAGTACTAATAAGTTTGTCTAATTGTATTGAATTCATCATTTATACGGCGGATATTTTCAAATAATGATTTGAAAATTTATACCAATCACATGATTACTGCCCTGATTTTACACTGCAAATATAGAGCCCAAATAATCCTGGTTGTTTATAAAATAGAATATTCTTGCACAAAAGTGTGCATTTAATATATCATTATTTTATTAATTAAAGTCTCAATCCTGTACGAACTGAAACATTATTGACATCAGTTTTAAGACCATATTTGAGTTTGTATCTCTGCATTCAAATACAAATGAATTTAAAATCAATGGTTATATTTATTTATGAATGCACGATTTTTCTTTGCAGTTTTCACATGGACAATCGACGATACCTGTCGATTTGCAACCGTTTTCAGACAGCACCGTTAAAATTCCCACAAAACATATAATATCAATAGAAGATATAACTATTAATAAAGAGCTTGGCATGGGCCAGTTTGGTGTTGTGCAACAAGGCACATGGACTACAGGGAATCAAAGAGTTAGTATTATTGCCGAAAATTAGATTTCTTTTGAAATTGTGTAATCTTCTTCGTTGGCTCCCCCTTATCCCACTAGGTGGGGTTGGCCCAAATATTTTTTCTCTTCCATTCTCTTCTATCAGCCGTCATCTCAACACTCACTCCTCTCTCTCTCTCTCATATCATCATTCACACACTCATCCATGTCTTCTTCGGTCTATCTCTTCCCCCTCTACCTTGCACTACCATTTAGCTACATCTCCTAGTCACATGCCTCTCTCTACACATCACATGCCCATACCACTCGTAACTCATCTTTTGGAATTGTATAATGATTTTTTGAAAACAGTTTGTTAATTACAATATACAATTATTTTTCGTTTTGAAATATTTCATGTCATTGTTGTGCATAGATTTGGTTTCCTTTGAATTTTTTTTTTCTGTATTTTATCTGAACCCAGATAACTGCTACTTCATCATCTTTCCCTACTAGTAGACTCCTTAACTTGTTTTCTATCTTTACCTTCTGATAATTTCTATATAACTAATCTTCAGTCTACTGTTTCCAAACAACATTAATCGCCGTTTATTTATTTTAAGAAAGATATAACTATGTTTAGTAAAAAACTTTTAATGATTTAACAGTTAGGTATAGTGATTGTATATAATTTGTGTGATAGTAGTGAGAGTATAGTAATAGTTTTTTTTATTCATTAAATATAAATGTTGAAAACAATTTTGTTACAAAAGCTATGTATTTCAGCTGCAAGTTGCAATAAAATGTTTGGGAAACGAACGTATGACATCAAATTCAACTGAGTTCCTAAAGGAGGCAGCCGTGATGCACAGCATAGAGCATCCAAATATAGTGCGATTGTTTGGCGTCGTTCTGCATTTAGATTCCTTGATGTTGGTGAGTTTTAAGGTTAGAATGTAAGTATAAAAACAGCATGTTTTTATACTTACATTCTAACCTTAAGATTTATTATTGTATGTGCATCGATTGTCATTTAATGTGGCTAGTTCGAAATTAGAAGCTTTGCTCTTAAAGAATTTCTCGAAATTTCTTTTTGTTTCACGTGAACGTTTCAATCGAGAGTAGAGGTAAATAGAACTGTGTTTAGTAAGGCATAAGTTGGAAAATTGACCAGCTACAAATTATGATTCGAAATAGCGCTAGCGTAGTTATGGTTTGATATGAATGCAGCAGCTATAAACGAACTGAAATGTGCTAGGTTGAAAATTTTAATTTTATAATTTTTGCTGCTATCTATGAAATTACATATCTTGCTAGGCGCCACCCTGTGACCTTTACCTCTACCCTCTGTACCTTCAAGGCATCATTCAGCATTTGTCTACGTGTATGCACGAAGCCGTACACTGTCCATGCATAAACTGTTTGGATCATCTTATCACGATATACTGATTTAAAATCAGATCTACCGTCAATCTTAATTTATTTTTATCCTGAACTTCTATAAAAACATCAAATTTACAATTTAAAAAAAACGAAAAGGTATGATAAGTACATTTATTCAATTTTGTTCTAATAGGTTCAAAACAAGTTTTGTGATATTACTATCTTTTATAATAAAAACGAACACCCTATATAAACAAATCAATTAGCCGACGGTCGTTGATTTTTAAAGATTTGAAAGAGATATCGTTAAAAATTTAATACGAAGAAACAAAAAAAAAACTATTTTGAGAGTTTTAATAATCCACAATAAGTTGTGAAACGGCACGATCAATATTTAAAATTGAAATTACGGCTGTTTCTTGTCGTCATATTTATTTTTAAATCCTAATCAGGGTCTTTGTGAATTTTCCTAACGTATTGAACGCTTTTAACTCGTTCCGCACACGAATGTCATTTCTGAATTTCAAATCGGGACATAACTTATCTGAAACCTTGAAAAAGTAAACACTGAATACACCTGCTTCATGCTTACATTATACTATCAATACTACGGTAGTTACAGTAGGCAGCGGCTTGACTCTGCCTCTGGCATTGCTGAAGTCCATGGGCGAAGGCAACCACTTACCATCAGGTGGGCCGTATGTTCGTCTGCCTACAAAGGCAATATAAAACTTTATATCTACATTTATAAAAATAATTAAGTTACGGCTTATTTGGATTAAAAATATTTAAAAGCGAGAATAAAAAATACAGTACGGTCAATAGTAGGGGAGCCCAAGCGGGGATTTCGGAATTTACTAAAGCGCGGCAGATTAATATACAGGGGGACACCTTGTACCTGGCTAAGTACCAAATATGAACCTCATAAATAAGGACTTGCGTCCAGGATAAAGGATCAGATTAGTAATGTACAAAATTGATTGTCAGAAATTCTCGAACGCGTCAGATTAAGGTAGGGTGAGTTAATTAAATGCGAAAAAGTGTAGACATGAATATTCCACTAATCTGACAATTTGAGAGTGACGTAGAGAAAGGGGAGGGCTACAAAGTTGTAAAAAAAATGTTATCTGGACATTCTCAAGCGTGGCTCAATTTTTTTTTGTTTTGAAGGAAATAATTCCAGGTTAACGAAAAATATGTAATCTGACGATTTCCACAATGTCGCCGAAATAACAAAAATTCGTCGATAAAGTTGAATGCGTGCAGCTGCGTAATGCCTATATTCCCCTCGCCGCGTTTTTTTGAGCATGTTTTTTTAAATTTACATTCTTGCAAATACAAAGATTTTACTTAAAAAACATAGACTTTTATATTTGCATGCTATTTCCTGAGCTTTTCAATTAAAGTTCAATGATTTTTTTTTGTCAGGCGAATCCCCCTATATAATCGTCAGATTATGACACAGCACGTCTAGGACGTAAAGATGAATCATATATATCTTAATTTGACGCGCTGGAGTATTTTAAAATGGCGATTTTTTTTTCTTCATATTATAATAATGGCCGCGAGTTTGCGTAACATCGAAATCGTCAGATTATTGCACAGTCCTCGTCGAACCCGTCGCTTGCGATGAAGGGCTCGACGAGCGAGTTAGCCCATAGACACAGCCCACTGAGTTTCTCGCCGGATCTTCTCAGTCGGTCGCGTTTCCGATCCGGTGGTAGATTCTGCGAAGCACTGTTCTTGCTAGGGTCAGCGTTAGCAACACTTCGGTTTGAGCCCCGTGAGCTCACCTACACACGTTAGGGTGAAGCTGAATAAGCCTCTCAAGGCTATCAGCATAGATAAGAGAAAAAAATATAATATTATTGCATGAGAGCTTTATTTAAGGTTCACTAAGACCTCCTAAGAAAATCTGACGCGATCGATTAAATTTTTTCTTATTTTCAATCCTTACCTACGACCACCCCCATCATGCAAACGATCAGATTAACATACATACATTATTAAAAAAACGTAGGACATTTATGGTATCAATTAATATCTGACGCGCTCGAGTATGTCCTTGCAACAGTTTTACTTTACAAATCTGAAAAAATTATAGCCGCTTCCCCCACCGATGAAAACGTATACATTATATGATATTTCTTTCTTATTATCATCTAAGCTTTGCAGCCTAATAGGTCTCTATGACGCTCGAGTAAATCCCCATTTAGCATCGTGGACTCCCCTATTATAAATACTGTTATAATAACAAAAAAAAAAACAGTAATATTACGTGTGAATGAGGAACCGATATACCAATGTTAAAATTCATTGCATTTTCTCATTTACACGTCAATGTTTGTTAAAAAATCTCGTGAAATTAAAACGTAGTACATACATACATACATATTATATATTATAGTTACATAAAGTAAATAGTTTTACCTATGTAATAAAATGCATTTCTTGAATCATTTGCTCCGCTTAACTAATTCATAATAGTTGAATATTTTCTGTATCAACCTATCTAACTGTTGTTAGATACGATCAGTCGCCTGTGTGATACAGAAAAATATTTTATCGTAATCATATTCAAAAGGCTATCACTATAGTGAAGCAGAGATTCCGAAGAACTCCTATTTGCGTTTTCTATTTTATTATGCGCATTTAAAAAAAAATCTTTAGGCCACGACGGCTACAAACTGTACCACAAGTTTAACTATTCAATACAGTAGAACTGCAACTATTTAAATTTTTAAAACGGCTTAAATAGCAAGGGACACTAGAAAAATTATTTTTTACCTTTAAAGGAAAGGCTATGCAATACACTTCAATGTTGTGCCTCATTCTAGACTCTGTTGATCGCTAACGTCGGATTGACCATGATTTATAAAATATAATAAAAATAACTTTAACTTATTCTTTGCATAAATATTGTAACAAGAAAAACATCGATTTCGTTTCTATAATACAATCATAATCAATAAATAGCATATGCATGCGTGTGTGCGTCAAATTCATGGTATGTAGTGTGCGTAATGTTTTCTTTATTGATTTAATGTATTTTTTATGCATTATTTTAAAAAAATATTTGCGTCATGCACTTCTTCTCTATATTCTCTATAAGTGTGCAAAATTTCATACTCCTTCGTCCGCGCAATTTTCGTAAAAAGGGATACAAAGTTTTTGCTTCACGTATTAATATATAGATTATACGTACGTTATGTACTAAGTTTTTTACGTACGTACAGCTTGTAGCCGTCGTGCCCTAAAAGATAAGACGTCCAGTGCATACGTGTTGAGCGATGCAACGGTGTTCGAATCCTATAGGCGGTTACCAATTTTTCTAATGAAATACGTACTTGACAAATGTTCACGATTGACTTCCACGGTGAAGGAATAATATCGTGTAATAAAAATCAAACACGGTGAAGCAATAATGTGTTTAGGTTTGAAGAGTGGGCAGCCCTTGTAACTATATTGAGACCTTAGAACTTCTAAGCAATAAAAAAAAAACATGATAATGTGTATTATGCTTTACAAATAATAAACGGGAATCCGCTTTGATAACGATTTGTGATATGATACAGTTCTCACTCACACATATTCTAATTGTAGCTTTTACCTTATATGTCATTACTGTCAATTTATAAATATGTAATTTTCATTATCCATGTGGAATTAAAACGTATTTTGGGAATGTCCTTTCAATTTACCAAGTTCTATATGCCTAGTCAATGTTTGTCCCCCTCTCTTCATTATAATAAAGTCTGATTTTTTTTGTTCCATTTCGATTAATGAGGGTATGAGTTGTTTTGACAATAGAATGATGATTTTTAGTTTTTTTTATTGCTTATGCCTACGAATAAATAATAAGTCAGGAAATGTAACTGCGCTCTAAAAATGACCCAACAAAAGTCGTGTCCACCGTGACATTAGTCGGATATTGTTCTTGCAAGCGAGCACACTTCTTATTTCGATTTATTATTGTGTTGTCAATAATCATGCCAGCGTGTGTTGTGAAGAGGTGCAGGAGCCATACAAGGCTAAAATTCCAGGGGTCACTTTTCACTAGTAAGTAGTAACAAAATTATAATTATAGTTAATGAATTGCAAATATGTTATCAAACCGAGATGGTTAACACTATGCAACATGAAGTCAGTAAATTTTTGATTGTATTTTTTTCTTCTTGGTGAAATATTGAAAAGTACATCGATAAAACATTTTTTATTATAAAATAGGTATATTTATATTGATAATTTTATAACGATAATGGATTTTGCATAATTTGTTTTCTTTTAGTTTTCCTGCCGATGCAATTTGGCAAAAAGGATAGCTGCAGTTAAGTTGGAAAGACAAGAATATGATTGGATGCCTGTGAAAACCAGCAGAGTATGCTCTATTCATGCTATGAAACTTGCTGGATGCTGCTAACCTTCAATTGCCAGAAACAGTGGAGCAAATTGTAGGCTATATAGCCGGCGTTGTAAGCCGAAAACTGCAAGCAAAAATCAACTGTCCAGAATGCTTATCATTGCTACCTGCTAATGAAAATTTGTATTTTCACAATCTGATTAATTTGAAAGATTTCGGTGGATTCTCGTACCCATCTGTGCTGTTGTATAAAATATGCACACGCACAGAAACACTAATAAGACGTATAATAAAAATACATGATAACGGAAAATCTGTCGGTAATATATACACAGTGTTTTTCTAAAATAATTGACAATGAAGATATTCTGCGCTTACTAAAAAAACAGCCACCAGACAAATAATGACCTTTTTTTTTATAAAATGTGTAATGGTTGAATTTCGCAGAATCCGTCTTCCCTACATTGCGAAAAAAGATTCTTTTTTAATGTCTTCTAGGCAAAAACTTAATAAATTAATTATATTTCGAGGGGCGTAGAGTTTATTACAAAAAAAACAAATATATAATAATTATACAATTATATTGTTTTAATATTAACGTTTTTCGGCCACTTATTACATAACATCGTCTACGCTGCTATGACTGCTGCCATAGCAGACATTTCAGCAAGCGCATGAACCAATCCCTGCTTTCGTTTTGAATTCAAACCAATCACAAATAATGTCTATTTCTAACCTCGTTTGTGATTGGTTTTTTATTCATACGTCGTTTCGGTTTCAAGTGGTGCCGCTTTTTTTGTGAAATTTGTTCCGAGTTAGACTTCTTGACTTATTATTTATTCGTACGCTTATAAGCGTAAAGGAACTCAAGGCTCATCTGATATTAAATAGACATCGGAGCCAATTAATAAAACTTCATGAATGCGGCCATCTTCATGAATGAGAAATATGTTTAATAATGCATTAGAATTTTTGAGCTATTACCGTTGACCGTATTAAATAAACGTCCGCATTGATTCCGTGTCGGATCCAGTGGTGCAATACAAAGACACAGTTGGTCATGTCCATGTGATAACTGCAAATAAAAATAACGCTTCCATAATTTAATTATAATTTTGATAAGCAGCCAATCAGTAGTCTTTGGTCGCGGGTGCAGGATGGATTTCCGATGCAAAAAACTTTGAAAAATTGATCTCTATGCAATTCCTGTTAAATTTTTGTTTTTTTATAACGCCCAAAAATATAGTTAAGGTTAATGAATCAATAAGTACTGGTCCTTTTAAATAAAAGAAATTTGGTAATACACATGACTTTTAACGAATTGTTTTGTGTTAAGTTTAATTGTCAACCTTTTTTTTGGGAAAACAGTATCGATATTAGTTAAAATTAAGTGGTTGTTATGGACAAATAAGTTAAAGATGCGCGTGTGTTAAACGGGAGTATTTCAGTATTCTCTCGCCTGCGCGCTAATGGTGTATGAAACATTAAATTTGCCTATAGAGTACCTTATTCACCGGGCTTAGCACGTTTCGATCATAGATATATTTTATATTTCGAAAATAGGGAAAAAATTTTTTATTCATCTTGTAATTCTAAAATAATGAAAGGGCATTTTCTTCTGAAAATGTATGTTACTCTCATAAAAATAAACTACCTATCGTCGCTGTCAAATCAAAATCTGCTATGTGCAAAAATTCTATTTTGAATTAACGAGTAAAAACATTTTCGTATAAAATTTTATATGAAGGTGAATTTTTAAGAACTATTCCAAATGAAAGCTATTGATAAATATTAAAGCTATAATAGACACATAACAGTTTTTTTTAGTAGATAGGACTGAACTATACGAAAAGGTCAATTAGTAAAAATCACAAAAAGTGCACATAGCAGATTTTGGTTTGACAGTGACGATATTATTTTGCAAAAAACCTCATCGATCGCTTTATATATATGCGAAAGGAAAACAAATCGACAAACACACTTTTGTATTTATGCTATGTAGTAATTATGATATTTTAACTGTAGTAAGTATAACGTCAAAATTAAAATAAATTGGGTGAACGACGGATTTTATCCACAACCTAAAAGTCAATTCTCCACCGTTTTATGTTTTGAGGTAAATTGAACTATTGTTTTTTTGAACAAAACTATATTTTTATATTTGAAATAGGTAACAGAGCTGGCTCCTCTCCGTTCACTGCTGGAGTGCCTCCGTGAAGTGTCACTCCGGCCCAATTTCCCCGTTCCTACTCTCTGCGAGTTCGCCGAACAGATCTGTGATGGCATGACTTATTTAGAAAACAAAAGACTGATTCATAGGTAACAAAAAAGAAACATTGTTAACGTCCTCATCATAACATTCATTCGTTTACGAGATAACAACGTTTCTTTATCCGAAAACAAATTAATTAAAATCTTTATTGCATGCTTACGATGTGAATACAATGTGTCGTCTATGGGGTCTCCGTCGCGGTGACATCATTTGGTCAACCGGTTATCATACTTATCATTCATTGCTTTAACATATGTAAATAACTTGGTTTTTTTACGTGGGTGAGGTGAATCATTTATATTCAAGTCGAATTAGCACCTAAACGAATGAGATCGAGAATCTCTCACGAGAAATGATTATTTAATTTCCGTTATTAGTAAACTAGTTTAGAAATACAGTTATAACGGGGTATCCTTGCGGAAGACGGAAATTGAATATTGTAGTTGTACTTTTTTTTCAATCAGAAGCTCTTTTTTTACTGTAGATGTTTTGACGATCTTATGGCTCCACCTAGTTTTAAGTGGTTACTCCAGAACTCAAATATCACAATGTGAATTTCACAACATAACACCTGGACGTTGAAGTTTGAATTATATTCAGTGTGTAATCGTATACAGAGTAGTATACTGTACACAGGACGTCTAAACTATTTGGCGAGGGACGCTTGAAATTGTCAATATTTAACGATGTCCTTAAGATTTTAATTATTTTGGTGCTTGGTTTTACACTTGTTAATACACACATATATCCTTTTCAATGATTTGAAAATAAATTATTGTGAAATGAAATGTTTTCAGGGATTTAGCAGCAAGAAATATTTTAGTATTCAACAAAGATAGAGTAAAGATTTCAGACTTTGGTCTGTCGCGCGCACTTGGTGTCGGCAAGGATTACTATCAGACGAATTATAATGTCAATCTTAAATTGCCGGTGGCTTGGTGAGTACAGACATTTTTTTACCTATACTACTTATTTATCAACATCACTTGTACTCCATACAACATACACCTAAGCTATATTTGGTTACGTAATTATTTTAAAAATTATACCTCCATTGGAATTTATAATAGATTATAGGTAATTTCAGCGGAGCTTTTTTTAACTTTTATTGCTTAGATGGGTGGACCAACTCACAGCCCACCTGGTGTTAAGTGGTTACTGGAGCTCATAGACATCTACGACGTAAATGCGCCACCAACTTTGAGATATAAGTTCTAAGGTCTCAGTATAGTTACAACAGCTGCCCCGCCCTTCAAACCGGAACGCTTTACTGTTTCACGGCAGAAATAGACAGGGTGGTGGTAACTACCCATGCGGACTCACAAGATGTCCTACCACCAGCTCCGACGCATGTATATATTAACAGTAATTCGCAACGATTTTTTGGATGCAACGACAAATAATTTATTGGAAGTCCATAAGGAAGTCAGTAAAGTGAATGATCATACAATATCAATACACCGTGTGTTCTATAGATAGACCCTCTATTCGAATAGTTCTCAAACACGAAAGCAAGTGTAGGTGATTCCTAACATTGAATTCAGTTTTTTTTAAATGGCGCGCAATGTAAGACGTTTCTCGCATTAACCGTGGTTTTAAAGCTTCAAGGGTTGCAGCTGACTTGCGTATTACATTGCCGGTTCACGAAATATTGACATGACATAACGACAATAATCAATGATTATTGTAGTAGATTTATATAGTTTTCTGTTTACGTTAAATCTAGTTTAATGCCGATTCGGTTCCGGGAAATTCCCTATACCATCTGTACATTACCGATCTGACTAAAATAATAGTAATGAATTGTATTTAACACTAAACATACCTTAACGGGTCAAATGATCCAATTAGAACTTTTGCATTAAAAATTCACGTACCATCTTGTTGCTTTAGCACATTTGACTTCATGACTTTCTTACCAAATAATGTACAGTTATTATACTATTATTTTTTTGTTTTGTTTTGTTTACTTTGAGTCATACTTGTCGTATACCGTTGTCTACCCGCTATGGTAGAAATATGTACCAGTAAGTGTTGGTATTATTAGTGTTAAATAAGAAATACATGAACTCAATGCGGACTACAACTGTGCGATTGTGAATTGTGCTAGAGATTAAAGAGTCGTGTTAGCAAAGATATAAGCTCAGTGTCAGACAACAAGCGAACGTGTGATCATTATTTCTTCAAGTAAGCACGTTTAGATTGACCCATAAAACACGTTTGCGATAAACGTATCGTTCAAATCAATCTCGCCTTGTCTTGTTTGTTGTTGTCAACGTGTAAAGGACGACCAGTTGAAGTATGTGTAGGCGTGTTGGATTGTTTATGAAAACAAATCGATTGATCTTTAGCGATGACATATCGCAGCGTTTTTTAATGTTTGCGGGGAATCAATTGTTGTTCGTTAATGTTAACCTAACGTGATAAATGAAATCTCAGCGGGCCCACTATGTTCGGCCAGCGTCTGTCCGCATCTCCTTTTAGGGGCCTCCTTATGCAACACTGTTCAAAAAATAAATATTAACGGAACAAAGCGCACTAATGTTTGGTGAAGTTTTTCCTGATTTTTATACAATACGGTTGATGTTTCTTTGGCGTTGATGGCTAATTATACTGACCACGAAATCGAAATTATTATAAACAAATAATAATAATAATAAAGAATATATGCGAATTTGAAGCTTTAAAATTGTCGTTTCATTATGTATGTTCGTAATTATGTATTGGCACTTGCACTGTTGCACACATTTGCACTGCCTTATTGTTTTCATTTTTAACTGAGGAAAGTATATGAAGAACTATATACTCGTAATATAAGTTCTTTAAAAATTTCTAATAATGAAATATGTATTAGAATATGAAATATGTATTAGAATATTTTTTATTCCTGTTACAGAATAGTTTCTTAGTTTTTCTCATGAATACCTTAATGACGTCTATTGTTGGAGAACGGAATATTTATGTATCTATTTCATACCGATATTACTGTGAGGTCATGTTTCCTGTTACCATTTATAGCAGGTAGACATAAGTTTTTTGACGAATGATTTGATTTAAATTGAAGTAGCTTCTTAATAAAACTAAACATTTTGACCTCAAATCAATTTAAACGCTGGAAATTCTAGAAATTAGCCCACTGAGTTTCTCGTGGGATCTTCTCAGTGTGTCGCGTTTCCGATCCGGTGGTAGATTTTACGAAGCACTGCTCTTGCTAGGGCACTAGCACTGCTAACACTAGTTAGCAACACTCCCGGTTTGAGCCCCGCGAGCTCACCTACACGTCAAGGAGAAGCTGAAATAGCCTGTCAAGGCTATCAGCATAGGTAGGGGGAAACAAATTGAAATTGTTACGAATTTTGGAGTCGTCGTGGCCTAATAGATAAGACGTCCAGTGTATACGTGTTGAGCGATGCACCGGTGTTCGAATCTCGGGTGGGTGCCAATTTTTCTAATGAAATGCGTACTCAACTCCACGGTGAAGGAATAACATTGTGTAATAAAATGAAACCTGCAAAATTATAATTTGCGTAATTACTGGTGGTAGGACTGTATATAATCAAAGGGTAGGATCTCGTGTGAGTCCGCACGGGTAGGTACCACCACCCTGCCTATTTCTGTCATGAAGCAGTAATGCGTTTCGGTTTGAAGGGTGGGGCAGCCGTTGTAACTACACTTGAGACCTTAGAACTTATATCTCAAGATGTCTATGGGCTCCAGTAACCACTTAACACCAGTTGGGCTGTGAGCTCGTTCATCCATCTAATTAATAAATAAAAAAGTTGTCTTTTTTTTGTTTTAATATTTGAATCGTTGATAATTTTTAAAGGTGCGCGCCAGAATGTATATTGTACTTACGTTTTACGTCATCGAGCGACGTCTGGGCGTTCGGTGTTTGTCTTTGGGAGATGTTCACATATGGCTTCCAACCGTGGGCGGCTTTCTCCGGACAGCAGATATTAGAAGCTATTGATACGCCTAATTTTCAGGTATGAATGTTTATGATTAGTATCGATATCGGGAAAGGAGCGACATCTCTAACGCATTAATATTTATATTGATCTGAGCCGTTATTTCGAAAATTGAAACGTATTGTAAAGAGTTGTTATAAGTATGGGTACCTAACCCTCCTATAACATGATAGATACGTTCCTACAAAGTCCCGTGTTTTGCCAAAACGTTTCATATGAGACTAAAAGCCAGTAAAAGAAAAAAGTAAAAAGATAATGTTTACGATATTGACTTGAAATGAAATAAAATGAAAAAAAGGTATTTTTCTCATTCTAATGCGAGCTTCTCTGTATAGAATTTTCTAGACTGTTCGAGAAATGTTTCAAACCGATAATTATTAACATATTTTCATTTTTATAATGAAATTCATCATATTTTTTAATCATTTTAAATAAATAGCAAACCAAACTATCAATTAATTTCAGTTTTTTTAGCCTATTGATATCCTTGTCAAATTATTAAAGCGAAGTTATAAAATTAGTGTATTGTCATCGGTCTTTGATGCGTGTGACAATTTTCAAATTAATCGGTATCTCTAAAATGACTTTCAATGATTCTGTTGTATACAAACAAACATACATGCATACCAAGTTAATAAAAGCGATTTAACAATTCCATGCCTGCGATCTTATCGCTAGCTCAAGTTAATGTTGATATACAAATTGAGTATTAACAATCATAATAGTTAAACGTGAATAAATGTACAGATTTTATATTGTGCTAGTGGTCGTTCGGTAGTCGAAATTCGACTATAATTAATTGAATTTATAAGTTCGTACACTATTATGATTCTATTTTCAAAGACTATTATACTTCTATAATCACAAATTTCGCCAAGACTACACTACAGAAACATATTAATAAAGACAAACAATATTTAATCTATTCTCAATTTGACCACAGACATCAAGAACAAAAGTTTGACAATAAATAAATAGTATGCATGCGTATTGCGTCAAATACATGGTAGTGTGTGTAATGTTTATTTTATTGATTTAATGTATTTTTGAGGCATAATTTAACAAAATATTAGCATTCTGCACTCCTTCTCTATATTCTCTATAAGTGTGGGAAATTTCATGCTCCAGCTCCGTCCGCGCAATTTTCGTAAAAAGGGATACAAAGTTTTTCCTTCACGTATTAAATATATAGATAATCCGATGCTTTTATAGAGATTGGAAAGACCGGAGTGCTGTCCCGAAGCGTATTATTCGACGATGCTGGAGTGCTGGTCGCACGAGCCAAACGATCGGCCGAAATTCAAGGACCTGGGACCAAAGTTACTCGGTATACGACCTGAAATGGTAAGTTATCCGATGAAAACGATATTTCATTATTTGGGGTCAGTGATATAAACCTTTATTTATTTATTTTTTATTGATTAGATTGGTGGATGAGCTCACAGCCTACCCAGTGTTAAGTGGTTACTGGAGCCCATAGACATCTACAACGTAAATGCGCCACCCACCTTGAGATATGAGTTCTAAGGTCTCAAGTACAGATAGTTACAACGACTGCCCCACCCTTCAAACTGAAACTAATTACTGCTTCACGGCAGAAATAGGCAGCGCGGTGGCACCTACCCGTGCGGACTCACAAGAGGTCCTACCACCAGTAAATATACTGTAAACATAAAAATAAATTAAAAGACATTTCTGTGCATCTTACTTTTTACGAACACAGCATGCATAGAATACAATTTAATCAAAAACATCATATCATTTATTTATTTATTTAATTAGCTATACCAACAAAGTGATCACCAATTCAGAAAAACTGAGACCTTAGAACTCATATCTCAAGGTAGGTGGTGGCATTTACGTTGTAGATGTCTATGGGCTCCGGTAACTACTTAACACCGGGTGGTCTGTGAGCACATCCGCCCAACGAAGCAATAAATAAAAATATTGTGAGCATCCAAAGGCTTAAGATTTTTTTTTTTCTTTATTAGAGCCATACACCTACAAATTAAAAACTTAAAAACAAAGTGTGACTACTTGTCTCGAGATGCTTTTACGATGTTGTGCCATCTGATATTGTATTTAGCTATTCAGAACGTAGTAAAGGATGGAATCAAGAGTGGCGTGGATCAGGTCGGAGCAACGCATCGGCCGCGTCCCCATGATCCTTTCCATATGCTTTGCCAGTAACCATCACTTTTTCAAAATCATCTACGTCTTTTCTGGCAATGTGTCGGTGATAGATTAATTCTAGATAGATAGATCAATCGATAAATAGATAGATCATTGATACGAGGGCTGCACTAAAAGTATCGGGAATGGAATATTTCCACTGTTCCTGTCATATTAAAATCTTTTTAAATGAAAACTCCTTGGTTTGCAAAATCGAATACCATTTATTTATTCAAAAAAAGATTCTCGGTCTTGTCACGAGGTTTTGTCAAACTTGTTTAGTCGTTGAGAAAATGGAATTGACTCGAGAAAATTCAAGAGCGATGATTTATTATGACTTTCGAAGTGGTTTAACACAAAAACAGTGTGTTGACCGGATGATTTCTGCATTTGGTGATGAAGCCCCATCCAAAACCACAATTTATCGCTGGTTTGCTGAGTTTCAACGTGGACGTGTCAAGCTCAGTGATGATCCCCGTCAAGGTCGTCCAAAAACTGCAGTCACCCAAGAAAACGTTGATGCTGTGCGTAAGCTGATTGAGGAAGATCGACATGTGACATACCGCGAAATTCAGGCAACTTTAGACATTGGCATGAGTCAAATACAAATAATCTTGCATGAACAATTAGGTGTAAAAAAGTTGTTTTCCCGATGGATACCGCATTCGCTCTGTGAAGAGCAAAAAGCGGCTCGCGTTACTTGGTGCGTCAGAACTCTCGAAAGATTCCACGCAGGATCCTCAAATGCTGTATACAACATTGTATCAGGTGACGAATCCTGGATATACGCGTACGAACCCGAAACAAAAAACCAGTCACGAGTTTGGGTGTTCGAAAATGAGTTAAAGCCAACAAAAATTGTTCGTTCACGGAGTGTTGCAAAAAAAATGGTGGCCACGTTTGTCTCCAAAACCGGCCATGTTACGACTATTCCTCTTGAGGGACAAAGAACGGTTAATGCAGAATGGTATGCTAGCATTTGTTTGCCACAGGTCGTTTCTGAACTCCGTAAAGAGAACTGCAACCGCCGCATCATCCTCCATCACGACAATGCGAGTTCTCACACCGCGCACAGAACAAAAGAGTTTTTAGAGCAAGAAAACATAGAATTATTAGACCATCCGCCGTACAGCCCCGACCTAAGCCCTAATGATTTCTATACTTTCCCTAAAATAAAGAATAAATTGCGCGGACAGAGATTTTCATCACCTGAAGAAGCTGTGGACGCCTACAAAACGGCCATTTTGGAGACCCCAACTTCCGAATGGAATGTTTGCTTCAATGATTGGTTCCATCGTATGGAAAAATGTGTCAAATTTCGCGGAGAATACTTCGAAAAGCAATAAATACATTTTTAAATAGTAATGTTGTGTCACTTCGTTAATTCCCGAAATTTTCAGTGCCGCCTATGTAAATCAATTTCATCCATACTACCTGGAGCCACTACGTTCATCCACAGTGCGTTTCCAGAGATCTTTTTTGCCACGTACCATCCGGCTTTGGAATGAACTCCCCTCCACGGTGTTTTCCGAGCGCTATGACATGTCCTTCTTCAAACGAGGCTTGCGGAGAGTTCTTTATGGTAGGCAGCGGCTTGGCTCTGCCCCTGGCATTGCTGACGTCCATGAGCGACGGTGACCACTTACCATCAGGTGGGCCGTATGCTCGTCTGCCTACAAAGGCTAAAAAAAAAAAATATTAAGCGATAGGCAGCGGCTTAGCTGTGCCCCTGGCATTGCTGACGTCCATGAGCGACGGTAACCACTCACCATCAGGTGGGCCGTATGCTCGTCTGCCTATACGGCAATAAAAAAAAAATCAAATACAATTGTTACTACTCTGTTTGAGGGATTTTTTAACAATTTTTTTAGGTTCAAGCAACATCGAACTTCGTGAGAACAGACGACGGAAGACGCACTAATTATTTAGATTATAAAGTTGGACAGATCATTACCGTTTTAGGAAAAGAGTGAGTGTTTTCGTTTTAATTTGTTTGTGTAGCTTGAGTTTTTTACTGCATATAATGTTAAATGAGCTCACAAGTCGTCTGATTTTAAAAGTTTGCCATTCGCACCTCTCGTAAAAAAAAATTCGCTTGGCGTGAACAGTGCCAATTTTACCAGTGGTAGAACGTCTTGTGAGTTTGCACGGGTAGGAACCACTACCCTGCCTATTTCTGCCGTGAAGTAGGAATGCGTTTTGGTTTGAAGGGTGGGGCAGCCGTTGTAACTATATTGAGACCTTGGAACTCATGTGTCAAGGTGGGTGGCGGCATTTACATTGTGGATATCTATGGGCTACGGTAATCACTTTACAATAGGTGGGCCGTGAGCTCATCCACCTAAATAAGCAATTAAAAAAAAATCGGATTACTTGGCTTGTCACCGGTCGTTTTTGACATTATCCAAAAATTATAAATTGTTAAGTTTTACTAATCTCATACGAGTAGTTAGTTCTTTTATGTTTACAACCCTGTTCCCCTACTTTAATGGAACCATTTTGGTGTTGCTGCCCCTTGGCGGTTTTTTTGCACAAGACACCATTGTGGGCTTCGGACGACATTTACGGCAGAGTGTTATGCGACTAGTGCAAACTTTAGTCGTGTAATCCTTAAACACTCAATGAGCTATGAGAGCTATGAGTGTTTAAGCTCTCATAGCTCTCAAGCCCATGAGAGCTCTCCATAAACTCTATCATCAGCTTTATGTGTTTATTTAAATTCCTGTGTCTACTTATCAGTGTTGTTTATCTTTGAACACTATGTTATTGTAGGAAGATCCTTGACTTCAATGGAAGAGGGGTCAAATATTCAACTCTTCCCATTGAATATTTGATTTCGTAACTTATTTTAGTGTATAGATAACTAAGTGAATATTTTTAGGTAAAGATTCTTTATAAATACATATAATTGATCTATCCAAAGATCGTCGTGTATTCAAAGATGTGTTTTAATAGATCAATCATGATTTAGAAAGACAAATTACAAAAGCATTCGCAATAGCGATTTTTTGAGAAAAAAAAAGTTACTAAAAATTATACCATACCTTATGTTACAAAGTAATGTTAGTATGTAAATAAAAATTCGATGGTCGCCACTTTATAAACAAATAGCTCGCCCAATTACGATAAATAAAAAGAAACAGTAATAATGAAATTTATTATACCTATTGAAGCATTATGATTACAAAATGAAAATCAATTAATCGCAAATTTAAAATACACGGAAATAAACCGAAGCGTGTAGATATAAGCTTGAACGAAGCCAATGTTATTATAATTGTCACAGGAAATCGTTGGAATCGAGAGCGACTGCAATCGGAAATCGCTATAAATGGCATGAGTCGACTCGGGACGGGTCTCAATGGTGTAGCAATTAGATACGGAATATCAAATTCCGTATGTCTTGATAGTATTCGAGTTGAACTCAACGTGCCGCCATTTGTCTTGAGACAACATGTGATAGAAGTCTCAATTATTCGTATAGAGTATGTATTTATATAATTATCGAAGATTGTTATAAATTCGAGTTTCGAAAAATCGTTTTTTTTTTTAATGCGTGAACTATTACTGGTAGTCTGAAGGGCTTTCCAGCTTCGCCAAGTCAGATAGGCAAGCATAGGGTCAGACAGGAGAGGTGGGGTTTGCTAACAGCTGCCCGAGCGCCTCCAAAGGAGACCTAACTCAAGGACAGCTGCTTCGCGAAAGTATCAGTCGGAATCGCGACCTATTAAATAGGTTCGTTAACTCTGCCAATGCCGGTCCCAAGCCCGGATGAGAAAAGAAGAGGGTTGAGTTGGAGTTCGACCTTTCCATCGTAAAATAGTCAACGCCGAATATCAGGCGGCGGTTAATTAGCCGGACCCAAATAAGGCTTCAGCGGCCTCGAAGAACTAAATCTCTTCCAAAAGCACTGGCGTGGCCTTCCACGCCTACTTTCTAATTCCGTTCTACACGCGTCCTTACGCGGGAACCCACCATGTGTATTTTCCCAAGAAAGCCTCATGAGGCCACGACCCTCAAGATTGAGGATTATCGACGCAAGGAGGAGGAAGGGTCCGGGTCTTAAGCCCGATTCTAATGCTAAAACTGTAGGCGTTTAATAGTTTGGTTCCGGATATGTTAGGACGTGCCTAGAGCGTCGACAGTGAGTGACTGATCAGCAATAGCCACGATGAGGCGGTTTTCATAAAACTTCGCTTTTTCTAAAGTACCGTCAAACTAAAAAAAAAGAAGGAACATTGATTGCTCTTGTGCCAATATGGAGAAATTGAAAATTGAAAATTTTTATAAATCGTTTTGTTTTTCAGAGGCATGACTAAGAGCTCCTTGTGGTACGGAGTTCTCCCCGGCGGTGCCTGCGGTGTGTTCGATCCTAACCAGACCAAACCATATTCGAAACCAGAGGTAGGGGTTACATTGATGACTTATCTTATGACTGTGTGGCTTGTGCTGTGCTAATTGCGTTATAAAAATTTCTTCTTCTTTTTATATTATAATGTTGATTTATATCAGTTTATATAGCACTTAAAACACACGTAACGGTAACGAAACAAATCATAATATTCGTTTTTAGATACATATAAGAATGTGAACGATATCCTTTAAGCATTGGATCAGAAAAATGAAGTTTCTCAATGGAATTGTTTTGCATAGTTAAATGTATGTTCATTCAGTTCAAAATTTCACGAGTCATATACACATCAGAAATCTGGTCTTCAATAATAGATTCGATAATATTTAACGTGGAAAGTGTGAAAATTATTAATTTTTTATTTAGAGGCTCTTATACAGTATTTGTTTTATACTACAATATACTTTTGCTTTTGATTCCAATGAGATACTTTAAAATCGTTCAGTTCTCATAGGGACTAGGTTTCTTATTGAATCGACATCAATACGCAGTAATTTCAATGAAAACAAAAGTCATCAGTTCATGTCATGCTTTGTGTTCTGGCGTTTCGTTTCGCTCTTGTCTCATCGCATACGAATGAGTCTCAAACTGCTTTTGTGTGTTTCACAGGCGAAGGTGTTCATTTCTATGTTGTTCATTCATATTGGATGCTGTCATTGCTGATAGTGGAATGTTGCTTTTTTTTATAATTCAATACCAAAAACCGTCTACAAAGTTAACACTGAAAAAAATTTAATTCTCGTAATATTTTGATTTTGTATTTTACGGCAAAATCAGATTACGTAGTTTAAATCTATTTATATTAGTTCAAACTCTTTCTACAAATTTCGAAACTTAAAAACGAAGACAATGCTTCGAATATAAATTCAACAAAGCATTTGAAATATTAAATAGAACATTCGAGAAAAAAAAAGCAACATGAAGCTACCGCCACCCATCGTCACGTTTTTCATAGAAGCCATTATCGCTGGGCTCGCTATCGCCGAATCCGAATCGTCATTCGTCACGTTCGTTACGTCCCTCCCTACTGCGCTCGGACGCGAAGCGACACACGTACACCGGGAAACGGACGATACAACGCAACATGATATCTAGTCCGCAAGGCGACGTCAAACACACGGGACACGTAGGACTCGACGGCGCATATTTCGGAGACATATCGTTCTTGGACCCGGCCGGTTGCGTGAGTATAAATCGATAACTTGGATTTGTATACGAAACGATCGAAAACATCGATAACCTTTAAAATTTCATACACTAATTGTTTGAATTCGGAACGTCAAAAGCGGCAACGAGCGACGTTCGCTATGACAATTTTCTCTTTTCAATTCCAGCCGCCAAGGGCGACACATCGATATATCATATGTATATTTATATATCTGTAGTTTGTCACTTAAGGACTAATAAAGATATCTAAACCAATAAATACAGCCATACCACAAGCAACACTAATATCGATAATATCGACCTTAAAAACGGTCACGTAAATTGTAATTTTAATTAAAACGACCTAAATTACGTGAAAGCATCAATGAATACTACAAAATCGATAATAAAGGGTGTGTTGGAATTCTTTTCGAAAATTAAAGCAGATCGTGATAATTCGAAACACTAAACCCTTTTTTTTTATGAAATCGCTGATCAAATAGTTGTTTTATTACGATAGCCATTTATGCACTACACGGGAAAAATAGAAAACATCTGATTTATGGGATCTGGGGAAGAGATACTAGCCGCCTTTGCGTTACATTACCCATTACATATCATGAAGTCACTAAATAGAATCATTCATGTCGTTATAGAACCGGTGACCCTGACTCTTGTTCGGTACAAAACATTTACTGGTGGTAGGTCTCTTGTGAGTCCGCGCGGGTAGGTACCACCACCCTGCCTATTTCTGCCGTGAAGCAGTAATGCGTTTCGGTTTGAAGCGGGCAGCCGTTGTAACTATACTGAGACCTTAGAACTTATATCTCAAGGTGGATGGCGCATTTACGTTGTAGATGTATATGGGCTCCAGTAACCACTTAATACCAGGTGGGCTGTGAGCTCGTCCACCTAACTAAGCAATAAAAAAAAGTAATAGTTACGCGTTCGATTCTCGCTCTGAACCAGTAACTTTGTTAATTAAACATATTTGATTAGCACATATTTGATTTTTTGGTATAATTGTCTTGTAAATGTGTGTGTGTACCACAAAACAGGAGTAATCTTACTTTGGAGGTATTGGTTGTGAAACGATTATAAAATATGTTGCTTAGTAAACGTTGATTATGTTATAACCAGGCTTAAAACTGTTTTTACATCTGATATGATTTGCTCGACCCTATATAGTGATATTGTATTTAGGTAATTGCGTCCTGCCTATGTTCTGCCTATCTACAACCACAAAATGTATTTTTGATTTAAATATATGAATACACAATTACGATACAATTTTTATTTTAACTACTTACAATTTACAGTATATATATTTCATTTAAAGTGATAGCCGACAGATGGCGTTGTTTAAAGATTTTTTTTTTTTATAATATTGCTTAAGCGTTTTTACAGCCCAACGTCCTTCGCAATAATATTTAGTTACTTTACATTTCATGTCTACGGTTTATAATTGTATATTGTTAGATTTTGTACGGGCTTACTTAAATTTTACGCCTTATAACATACTAAAACATATTAAAATAAAAAATAATAACTACATATATGAATCCGAGTTCAAAAATGCAGCTTATCATCATTCGATATTCCATTACAATTAATCGCCTTTGTTGATGGGTGGAGGGTTACTAACATTGTTTTCGATCAATTTTCAATTCGTAATCATTCTAAACGTGCCTGGCAGGTCTACAATCTTCAATATTAGTAAATATTGTCTAAATATAGTTTACTAGCGACCCGCCCTCGCTTCGCTTCGGAAACATTAAAACACATATGAAACAAAAAAAAATAATTAAAAAAAAATTAAAAAAAGTAGCCTATGTTCATCAGGGACAATGTCGGCTTCTAATGGAAAAATAATTTTTCAAATCGGTCCAGTAGTTTCGGAGCCTATTCGAAACAAACAAACAAACAAATCTTTCCTCTTTATAATATTAGTATAGATGTCTAGCTAAATAAAATTTTATTACCAAGAAATTTGTTTAGAATTATTTTGAAATATACGTTGGCTCTTTAATCTGTTACCGGAACAGCACGATATTCATATCGCAGCCATGGAGACTAGAGATTAAGCTTTTGTCGGCATTACTACAATGAATAATTAATTAACTTATTATATCAGAATTAATGTTCTGTAATAGCAATGAGGAGGATGCTGACCCCCATCTCAAGAATAGGCAAAGTGTAAATTTGTCACAGAGTGGAAGTAAGCCTTGTTGAGTATTACAATATGGCGTTAAAAAAAAAAAAAAAACTAACTTCGATTAATATCGTATGGCATACATACCTAAAAGAGATCTCTTCTCGGCAAAATTATGTAAAACAGTATGTATGTAAATTATGTAAAAAAATTCGAAATATTTCAAAAATAGCTATTAAAATGCAATATTCAACTTCAACTAGTTCACATAAAGATTTGATGAAAGATACTTTATTTTATTTATTGTATTTTATTTATTGAGTACCAACATGTTATACATCAGCACAGAACATTACAGGTATCATATACATTGATTTCACACTAAATGCTAACACAATTACAGGTACCGACTGCATGCATTGAAAAAAAAGCGGTTCATTATATAAAAAAAAAACTATATATAACATTACATGAAGACTTACATTATTACACATTTACTACCAAATACGCTATTACTTAATTGAAAAAAACTCATTGAGCAAGGTTGTAGATTTCTCGTCTAAAACTGTCAACAGTGCCAGCAAAAACGTCCAGAGAATACTAGTTATGCAAATTATTTGTGCAAAATTACAATGTATACTGCGCGACAGAAAAAAATGCATTTCGTTGTTTGCTGTTTGAATAAATAGGAACGTATGCTTGCAGCCGCCCAGACAAGTGGTGACTCCGTACAAGCCCTCGGAGGACTTGGAGCAGGTTCCCCTGATCAACCCGAACTCCCCTTCACACCTGACCGGGGGAGCCTCGAGTGCGCCTCCGTATCCGTTGCTGTCGTCACGTCCGGATCACAGGAACGATTGCGATGAAGTCGACCTGGCTTGTAAGTAAAGAACAAAAATTACAAACCATTTTCTGTCAATCAAATTTAAACTAGAGGTCCCGCAGTAGTCGAAATTCGACTATAATTAATTGGAATTGTAAGTTTTTACACTATTATGATTGTATTTTATACTTCTATAATCACAAATTTCGCCAAGGCTACACTATAAAAAAATATTAATACAGACAATCTATATTTATTCTATTCTCAATTTGACCACAGATGTCAAGAACAAAAGTTTGACAATAAATAGTATGCATGCGTGTGTGCGTCAAATACATGGTATGTAGTGTGTGTAATATTTTCTTTATTGATTTAATATATCTTTTATGGATTATTTTAAAAAAATATTAGCATTGTGCACTTCTTCTCTATATTCTTTATAGGTATGGAAAATTTCATACTCCTCCGTCCGCGCACTTTTCGTAAAAAAGGATACAAAGTTTTTGCTTCACGTATTAATATATAGATCACATTGACGATTTATGTTTACTAGTTGTCACGCAGTAGTCGAAATTCGACTATAATTAATTGAATATGCAATTACGAAAAAGGCACATGTCGCATATTTTGTCAAATACGTTTTTTCATATACATGTAGTTTTGAGGCTTACCTATACCCATTTTATAATAATACCAGTAATTTTCAATTGCTAATTAACACGAAAATATATTTCAAAAGTTAATATTTTAAATTTAAACACTGCTTTAGAAAATTATCATTTTTTTTCATTTCCTGAACATTTTACATTTTCAGAGATGTGCCCTTTTCGAAATTTCATATTCAATTGAAATTATAAGTTTAAACATAATTATGGTTCTGTTGAGTCTCTATATCTGGCAAGGATTAATAAGGCACGTGTTCAGTTAAGTGACTAACGTATATTGGGATTACAAACTAACGTGCTATCGACAATCCCGAGACTGACCTAGCATCATTGCATTATAATTACCACTAACACATACTTATAATTATTAGTTGCTATGGGGATCTTTGCGGTCCCTACAGTTCTATTGTCAAAGACTATTCTTACTTCTATAACCACAGACTTCGCCAAGGCTACGCTATAGATAGACAAATAATATTAAAGATAATATTAACATATCCTCAATTAGACCACAGACTTCAAGCAATAACAAAAGTTTGACAATAAACAAAGAGTATAAATTTGATAGGCATCAGTAGGCAGGCAGCGGCCTTGGTTCTGCCCCTGGCATTGCTGAAGTCCATGGGCGACAGTAACCACTCACCGTCAGGTGGGCCGTGTGCTCGTCTGCCTACAAGGGCAATAAAAAAAATGGTATTAATAGTTAATATCATAATTCGGACTCCAATAACTACCTAAGGGTTTCTTATGGGCAACATAGACGTTTACGATACACGTTGTATTAATTGAAATTGTGTCGAGCGTCGCAGCGTTTCCGTTGTCCTCACAGCATCTAATGTTAATAAATAAAGAAAAAAAACTATAAGTTAACAGTTTTTTAGTGTCTTTAACAGGTAAAAGTTAAAAAATAAATGGATTTGGATAGACATATTTCAATATTTTAGCGCCATCTCTTGGCTTTGAACTGCACTGCTTAGAATTTCTTTTCGAAACACGCATTTTTTCTTTGTTATCAGAACGTATTATTTTCCGTAAACGATATTAAAATAACATATTATTTTACGCTGACAGATGGCGAAAGTCGAAGTAAAGCTCAGAAGAAAAACAATCACAAGAATTCGGAAACCACCGCCTGTAAAAATATATTGAATAAGGTATTTAAGTGAATTTATATAACCCCTATCTTTATTCTATAACATATATACCTACTATATTATATTAATATATGTTAATATTATATAATAATAATATTATATAATATTATTATTATATAATATTATTATTATACAACAATATATTATATAACAATACACAACCTACACTGACGACTGTACTGGAACATACACCCACAGACAACGTCAATGTTTCACCTTACACACAGGCTAACCAACTACTAGACGATGAGATTACAGATCTACGTACAGATCAGTACACTTTAGATAAAATAGGGACTTTTAATATAGATATGCATACACAGCAAACACAAAGCTTAGATGAGCCCGAGGCAATTATTTTACAGTTTTTACAAGTACTATCAGAAACAAAGGAGACATGTATAACAGACCGACCTTGTCTACCAAAACCATAATTTAATAAAACTTTCATCGCCAATTTAGGTAAAATTAACACATACATTCCTAATTTATTAGATACACATAACACCTTACGAGAACTAAATAACATAATTTATGCAACGGCAAAGACACTCATTATTGCCAATGGGCAAAAGCCATTCACACCTCGCACTACAATAAAACCCAGAAGTGATCCCCCTTGGAAAAGAAGAATAAAGAATAAACTTGAGGACATTAGAAAGGAACTAGGTAGATTGGTGGAAATTAAGAAGGGAGTCAAGAGCAGAAGACTGATAAAAATTAAAGATAAACTTTATGAAAAGCACAAGATATTCAGTGATATGGACCATGACAAGACAGTTGAAGTTTTAAGCCAGAGAGTCAAAGCGTTGGCAGGTAGGATAAAGAGGTATGAAGATATTAATAAGAGAAAGGAACAAAACAAACAATTTCGCGAAAACCAACATGCATTTTACAGATCACTTAGTGCAAATAAAAAAAGTCCGACAGAAATTCCAACAAAAGAAAACATACAACAATTTTGGAGTTCCATCTTATCACAACCTATACCATACAATAAACAGGCAGAATGGATAGCAGACATACAGAATGAAACAGATGATATACATAAGCATAACTTTCAAGAGATAACTGTAGAAAGAGTAAAAACCGCAATAAGAAAAACACATAATTGGAAAACGCCTGGACTCGATAAAATACAGAACTATTACTTAAAATACCTCACTAACATACACCCACACATTACTCACTTATACAACAAACTATTAGATGGAAGAGAGACGCTGGAAGAATGGTTCACCACTGGACAAGTTATTTTAATTCCAAAGAATGATAACACACAAAATCCACAGAACTGGAGACCAATAGCCTGCCTGCCAACCATGTATAAACTCCTCACCTCTATAATTGCAAACGAACTATACGAACACTGCGAAACTAATGATATATTAGCTCCAGAACAAAGAGGATGTAGGCGTCGCGCTCGGGGCTGTAAGGATCATCTCATGATTAATAAAGCAATCCTGGAAGACGCCCATCAGTGTCAGAAAAATCTTAGTATGGGCTGGGTTGATTATCGAAAGGCCTTTGATAGTATTTCCCATGACTGGCTACTTAAAGTTCTTGAATTGTATAAATGCTCACCTACTATCATTGACTTTCTAAAAAAGGTTATGCCCTCATGGAAGGTGATCATGGCGGCCCGTGGCGTGAATTCCTCTGTGACAACAGACCTAATAGCTGTCCGCCGTGGTATCTTCCAAGGCGATTCGCTGTCACCACTACTGTTTTGCTTAGGTATAAATCCCTTATCATTCCTTCTGAATAAATACATACAAAAAGGGTACAAACTTAAAAACAATACAGCTATTAACCATTTATTATACATGGATGATTTAAAGTTATATGCCAACAATAAGAACAGCCTCAAAGTTTTACTTGATAGCACAGAGATTTTTACTAGAGACATAGGAATGGAATTTGGCTTAAATAAATGCAATGTGCTTCATTTAACATCTGGAAGGAGAGCTGAGCACCAGAGCGAAGGTCACATACTGTTGAGTGGCTTAAACTTCGAACATTTGAAGGAAGACGAAAATTATAAATACTTAGGTATAGATGAAGCAGGCAAAATAGATCATAAAAGAATTCAGGATCAGGTGAAAAGAGAGTACTTCAAAAGAGTAAAATGCATCACTAACACACAACTTAGCGCGAGAAACCTCATAACGGCCATCAACACTTATGCCACACCAGTTCTTTTATACACGTTTGGAATAATAAACTACAAAAATAGTGACTTAAACAAAATAGATATAAAGACAAGGAAGATACTCACTTTGAATAAAGCCCAACAACAAAAAGCGGATATCGAAAGACTCTATTTACCCATAGAAGAAGGAGGCAGAGGACTTATAAATATAGAAATGTTACACAAAACTCAGATTATTAAATTTAGGCAATATTTAAACAATGAACAGGACCAAATCATAAAAGCAATAGTTAAACACGATAAACATAGAGATAAACATTCAATACACAAAGATGGTAAAAATAATGCAGTAAGAATAGAATTAACAGAAAACAGAAACTACACCGATACTGAAATTAAGAAAGCAGTAATAAAGACTGGCATCAGTAAATGGAAAGAGAAACCGCTACATGGACAATTCCGTAGGTCCGTTATAGAGAAGGGTAATATAGATCGAGAGTATTCGTTCCGCTGGCTTAAGAAACAAATCGTGTCCCCCACGTTAGAATCTTCAGTATTCGCTATACAAGATCAGGCAGTAATTACGAGACAAATAGAAAGAGATATTCTAAAGAAATCTGTCGATGGTAAATGTCGCCTATGCCTAGCAAAAGACGAGTCCATAGAGCATATAATCTCGGGATGTGAAAAACTGGCCGGCACTTACTATGTGAACAGACATAACAACATAGTAAAGTATATTTGGTGGGCAATAGGAAGAAAACACAATTTTGAATTAGACTCGCTATGGTGGAAGGTGAATTTGACTCAACCTCAGATAAAAGAAAACAGCTCCGCGAAGCTAATGTGGGAGATACCAGTGCAGACGGACGTTACAATAAAGCACAATAGACCAGATATAATATACATAGACAAGACAGAAAATAAAACCTACTTAATAGATGTAACTGTACCATCTGACTACAATATAGGACCAAAAGAACTGGAAAAACTTAGTAAATATCACCCCTTAAAAGTAGAACTAACACGACTCTGGAATACACACACAGAAACCATCCCCATAGTAATAGGCGCAACAGGCGTAGTGGCAAAAAGTATACATAGATACATAAACAAACTGGAAGCAAATATAAACATACACATAATACAAAAACAAGCAGCCATACACACATGCACAATAATAAGTAAAGTTTTGGGTAATACAGTTTTCATAAATTCAAGGGAGTCCGAACCTCCTCTTCCCTGAAGGTCTCAGGGCGGGAGCTAGGAACTAAACCGAGTCAAGAACTCGAGAGAAAACTCCTATAATAATAATATTATATATGTTAATAGTTGTATATAGTTGTGTCTATGATATTGCTGATATTCATGATAACTATAATAAATTGTTTTATTAAATTACAGGTGAAAAGCGCGACTATTCGTCGTTCAAATAAAACAGTGGACGCAAACAATAAAACGGACGAGGTTCACGAATACCATGAAATATCCGACACTGATATGGTAAGGATTTTGTTTTCATATTTTTTTAGATTTAAAGATTACTGGTAGCCCGGAGGCCAGTTTCACTAGGACAGGTGGGGTTTTCATCTGTGAACTGGGTTACGACCCCTAACAGCTAAGTTATTGGGTCCGAGAACATCCCAACGTGAATGGTGCTATCCATTTTGAGACATGAGGTCGAAATCTCAACCGTATAATGGCTTCGCGGCATAAACAGGCCGGATAATGGTACATAACTGTGCTCGCAATACGCTCTGCACTTCGATTATGAATAAATCAATTGGAATCAATTTTATAAATAACGGATACATTCTACCAATATTTCCGTTGTCAAATGATTATGAAATGAACATTCCAAGCATTCTTGAAATTCTCGTTAAATCCGTTTTACATCAATCATTTTACGGAGATGAATGTGCTGATTCAGCGAAGCACTACTTTTTTTAAGGGGTTTTATGACCTGGTAACTTAGACCTTTAGGTCATGTCTTATTTTAATTTATATTCTTATTTTTATGAAAAATGATAATATGGAGTGAAATGAAATGAAATGAAATGAAGATAATTAATTTGAGACATTAATCAACTGGAATGAAATTAAATGAAATGAGATGAGATGATATGGGATGAAATATAATCTTAGTAAAATGGTGGTAATTTACTGAGATTTTTTCAGTGGAGTTTTTGGAGGATCCCGAGAAGTTATATCCAGCGGCTTTCTATCATTTTCCCACATTTGTGTACTGTCACAGATATTAAACAGTTAATAAACCACCATTATTACACATTTAAACCTGAAGAAACACTAAATAGACAAAATAAAACAAATCACATAAATTCACTTCTCGCGTTCCTGCCAAAAACTACTCTTGCCAGAGCTAATGTTAGTGTAGTGTTAGCCAATCCTCACAGGTTAAGGTAAGATCACCTACCGAACCTCGGGTAGCTAGAATAACCCATTGAGCTACCAACGATTAGGTAGAAAAAAAGAATGTGTAGTGACTAAAATAATAATCAAGAATTTAATGAGAATTTAGAGAACAAAATATAATAGAATACATTTTCCTTTTTCATTATCTAAATTACGTAATCTTCCTTAGTAATATTAACAATAGGCCTCCGAATTTGTATAATAATATATTAATAGCACAATACTTCTGTGTCCTGCCCTGGAATGGGATCGCTTGCCTACACGTTTGCCACTAGAGGTGCTGTTCCAACTACATAGAAATATGAGTTAACTTTTACGCTATCGAGAACGTTAAAAAACTCGCACTAAGCACACTGTTTGTTGCCTGAACAAAACGTTCTTCATTTGTATCGAGTAGCTGCTCTAACTTTTTATTTTATTTTTTATTTTTGAAATAAATTATTTCGTTATTCAATTTGTTTTTAATATGTTTGATAAAATAAGGAATGTCCACATCCTGCGAGTGCGAGGAATGAACATCTTGGATCACCCGAAAGTCCAGGGATTATTGTAAGTTTGATTTAATTAAGTTTTTTTTTAGTATTATGCCTAATTGTTTTGTTTTTTCTTTCTTATTTTTAAGTATCTATGTAAGAACTTTTTTCGTTATTATCTAATTAAATTTGTAAAATCTTTGTATTGAGCATCGTAGTTAGCGGTTTGGTTCTGACTTCTGACCATGGCATCATCAATGTCATAAGCGACGGGGTGCTTACGATGGTCAATAAAAAAAAGAAACAAATAATTAATTAACATAATCACGTTTTTATTACAGAAAGGCTATACAGACTTCAGTCAGAGCCTCATCGATGAGATGGAAACTATGTTCCGAAATCTGGACGCTAAGAGACGTGACGAGCCGGTCAGTATTACGAGATAATATTTACTTTAAGATCCCTTAAATAATATCCTATCAACCCAATCTCGAAGATTTCATTGTTATAGTTTAAGTACATTTTAGCCGATCACAAAAAGGAGTAGGTTGTCAATTCGACTATATTTTTTTTATTGTATGTTACTTCAAAACTTGCTTCTAGTTGATCTGTTTTTGAAGGGTTTTTTTTTTGAAAGTCGGGGAATTTGTGTAAGTTTCGTTCATTTCAATTTAGTCAATATCTGACCAGTGGCTTAATTTTTTCTTCATAGTTCATATTTAATTGACTTCGAGTCATTGTTGATATTCTGATTTTATTTTATCGAAATCGATTTTCGTTTTTGTTAAAATTTCGTAGTATAAAAATCATCTATAAAAAACAATCTTACAAAATTTGCTAGACGATAATCGCCACTTTTAGTGCCATTAACTCCTATTTCTTAAAGGATCCGGAGTTCGTCAGAGGTCAACTGGTGTTAGAATTGCTTGTTCCTTCTTGACTTTTACACCTTTATTTTTTTGTTATACGTATGATGAGAAATGATAAAATATAATACTTAGTTTTATTGCGCGGTCCTCGTTTGATTTTTTTTAAATCGATTGAAACCACTTTTTACGAAAAACAAGTTGACAAGTTGAATTATAAAAAATGAAAATTTTTGATTCAATTAACTGTAAGTTAACATTTGGTTATAATGAGGTTTAATTAACTTTTTTATATGTTGATTTTGTGTTGTTGTTCTTTTTTCGGGTTTCAAGAGTCGTGGAGTCGTCCTAACTACTTTTACAGTTTAGTTTCGTGTTTTTTTCGATTTTTCGTTTTTTTTTATTATATCATTTCCGAAGTTTTGAATAGGTTATAGTTTCCGTGATGACACCACGTCGAAGCGTCAGTTTTACTGTAAGGACAATGTAGTAAACGCGAGATTAGACCTTAAATGTAGTTTTTGTAATATACTATTTAAATATATTTATATACAGTTCGTTTGTTTGTGGTATTTAAACAAATTCTATAACTACACGCAGGGTATATTCATTCATCAAAATGGCTTCTGATATTAAAAGCATATCGCATCATATCGCTCTTTGTTGTAGTTAAAAATTTGTGTGAATTAATGCGTGTGCACACTCGTGATTCTATTGTGTGTGTTTGCGTGATTGCGTGCGTGTGCGTGTGTGTGTCCGTGTGTTTGCGTGTGTGTGGGTTTGTATGTGTTTGTGTGTAGTTTTACGAAACAATTCAAAGCGAATATCGAATTATTTAATTGCGATAGCAAATTTTTAAATATATATTTTTTAATTTATTCAGGTTGAATACATACCGCGGATGTCTCGGTAAGGGTATATACAGTAGATAGACTTGTACATTCGAAATATCATATCTAGAGAAGCATCCGAATGATCATTTAACAATAAGACATGTTCATTATCGCTCGTGTCCATTGTAGAAGTCATATTATATAGTCTCATGATTAAACGCCGCTTTGACCTTAGAATGTTAAATTTTTTGTGTCGCAGTAATTTTTTGGAAACTTGCATTTCATAATATAGAAACATAGTGTACATAAGACGACCGGACGACTAAGACGACTAATAACAATAGAAAACCCTAATTGCAGTAAGGGAAGGGAATGAATTTCAAAAGTTTTTCTTGAAATATCATATTGAAAACCATTAAAATTACGCTTATAACTTTGAAAAATAAATAAAGTCTTACGTGTGTGTACCGAATTAAAACGATTTTCGTTCATAATAATTTCAACCTGACGTTGTTACAATGTTACGTAAGGTAATTTTATTTCGCAAAATTTTATGTCTAAAGAAAAACAAATCCGTCTCGGGACGCTTGACAGAAGCGATAACTTAAACTAATCTAAGAAATTGTTCAACTTGAGAAAAGCTTAGGTTATTACTAAAATTTTATGTATGATAATGTAAGGATAATTGAAGACATGAGTGGATGAAGGGCATATGATACAATTTTTTAATCTTGATAAAACGGGCAACAAACTTTTGTTTGTACTTTTTCTTCGTACTTAACTCGTTCATCACGTGCAATTTGTAAAAATAGCCTTTAAACACGGAGTTTTAAGGTCTAATATGGTTTATAGGCACATAACATCTTCATTCATTTTAAAAACCCAAAAATATTAAAATTGCTACTTAATCCCTTCATCTACTCATGTCTTCAATTCGAACATACTTTGAAAAATATATATAAATAGTTAGGAGTTACATACTTTCTCAGTACCGCTGCCGTATGCGTGAGAGAGAAAGGGAAGACAGACAGACAGACTAGCGCCGTAACGTGTTACGTAACGAAGCGGTTTACTCTCCCATAAGAAGTTATCACTTCAAAATAATACACAATAACGATGCGAATTTTAAAACAGAGTAGCAGAAACTATGAATCGCCCGCAAACGATCGAAATGCTCAGTCATTGATGATTATTAATAACAAGTGCTATAAATGGTTTCATTGATTGGGAATATCTATAGTGGCTGACCGTGTGGCCCTAGGTTCACTCAATCGCATTATACCGCCAATTATACGGAATTAATTAATCTATCTCATAATGCACTTTTGTCCGCTTCTTATCTTTAACTAGTCTGATAAGTTTTATAGTATAAACAATATAATAATTGTCGGCTATTTCGACACATCACTGAATCAATAAACAGTCGATATAACGTTGAAATAGCGATTTAAAAAAATATACCTATATATTTAGCATTGAATGTTTGCAATGAATTAGTTTTTATGACAATTTTTCATTACTAGGACATAAAAAAAAATCTTTTTAATCGTAAATTTAACTTCAAAGTTCAATTGTCAGTCCGATCACAATCTGTAGTAGTAGTTTAAGTTACAATTTCGCAATAACATGTCATTCATTGACTTAATGCACATGTAAGTACTTCCAACTTATAATACTTCGAACAAGGTGTAATGGGTTCGTTCTCGGAACTGTAATGGCAGCTGTAATTTAAGTCAATATCAGAATATATAAATATATAAAACTGGTTTCATTTTTTGTACAGATACGATTTCGTTTGTAGATTGTTTAGTGTTTTTCAACATCATATGAATCACGAACCCCGGCATTGGGGGATTGACGAACCCGTTATAAAGTAATATAAACAAAATCAATAAAAAAATTAAATTAAAAATATAAAATAAATTATAAAAAAATATATATTTAATACGTTATACAAAATTACAATTCGTATATTTAAAATACCTGTGTCGAAATGTAAGTCTAACACACCGAAAATATTACATTATTTATTAAATTAAACATATCTTTCTATATACCTATATATAAAAGTGAATCCATGTGTGTATCTATATTCATCTAAATTTATTTTACTTTGTTAGCTTTGTTTATCGTCTGATGATTTTTATGTTTAATATAAAATTGCTTTTTTTTGCGGTCGAAGCCGCCAGCGCCGCTTGTATGCCGATAAAATAAACAATTCGAAATCGATTCTTGTGATGTCAGCGTTTTTGTACGAGTTGCCTTCGATTTCGAAAACATTTCCATACATCTAAAGTCAGTATTTAAAAGAAGTAAACATTTAAAATAAGTTTTTTCAGACAATCGGATTAGTGTAGTGTAGTATACATAATAATATAGTGTTCTCATTTCGTTAAATGAATTCATATAATCACTAAAGTATATAGTTGCATATAACATATTATAAAGTAAGCCCATAACGTAGCTCAGTTATGAAAAATATTGTTATAAGTTTAATTAAGAAAGCTTAATGTTCTCATATATCTCTGTATAATGATATAATTCATAGTAAAAGGTGACGATGATGATGTAACACGGAAAAAATGTTTAAAAAATAATACGTACGTAAACGATTTATTTGATTTCCAGGGCACATCGAGTAAGCATTTCGACATCGATGCATTGAGGTGATTGAATTTTGCTAAAAACATTATAATGCATGTATGTAATAATACTCAAACATTATACCTAAAGTGTATATTTTATATATCCAAATAACAATAATGCATGTATTCAATATTTTTTTAAGATAAACACAGTATAACAATTTGTTATTCATGCTAAAAATAACGTCAAGATTATCAGACGTTCGATGGTTTCGGTATGAAAATGGAACGTGAATAAATATTTTCGTTTACAGATCTCATACATTGTCGAAGTTTGATAAGAAGAAGAACTTCAACACCGGCACAATGAAACCAATGTCGGCCCACGATGAGAAGACACTGGAAACGGCGATGTCCATGGCCAATGAACTGACCACAAAGTGAGTGTTTGCTTGTTGTTCTTGAGTTTGACGAAAGAGTTTTAAGCGGTAGGCAGCGGTTTGGCTCTGCCTCTGGCATTGCTGAAGTCCATGGGCGATGGTAACCACTCACCATCAGGTGGGCCATATGCTCGTCTGCCTACAAAGGCAATAAAGAGTTCCGTACCGACCCGTGATTAATATATGTATACTAGTGGTCCCGCAGTAGTCGAAATTCGACTTTAATCAATTGAAATTTTATGTTTAAGCATTATTATGGTTCTATTGTCAAATACTATTATACTTATATAATATAATCACAAATTTCGCCAAAACTACACTATAAATAAATAATAATAAAGACAAACAATATTCATCTATTCTCAATTTGACCACAGACTTTAAAGTTTGACAATTGACAATAAACAAATGGTATATTTATATATATATGTGTTGTGTCAAATACATGGTAGTGTGTGTAATGTTTTCTTTATTGATTTAATGTATCTTTTATGCATTATTTTAAAAAAATATTAGCATTGTGCACTTCTTCTATATATTCTCTATAAGTGTGGAAAATTTCATACTCCTCCGTCCGCGCAATTTTCGTAAAAAGGGATACAAAGTTTTTGCTTCACGTATTAATATATAGATATATGGATGGTATGGCGAAATCTAGTGGATATGTAGTTTAACAATAAAACTTTTATTTTTTCAAAAAAATACTGTTCGTAACATCGTTAAGTCAATTTTATATTTGTCATTTATATTTTCTTCTTTTAAAATAAAACTAGTTTGCCAGTGTGAATTCTTTTTTATTGTACTTGTTTTGTTTATCCAGAGAAGCCCACAGAAACTCCAGCATCAATCCCATCCTGAGACATGATATCGAATGCATAAAGCCTTATATTAGTTTTTGTAGCCGTCGCACAGGTTAGCATTTCTCATAGATCAATGAAGATGACATACGAGACGATTTTTTTTTTGAACAGTCTGTTCTTTCTTTGTTGTCTATATTCTATTACTTAGATAGATTGACGAGCTCACAGCCCACTTGGTGTTAAGTGGTCACTGGACCCCATAGACATTTACAACGTAAAAGCGCCACCCACCTTGATATGTAAGTTCTAAGGTCTCAGTACAGTTACAGGTGTTTTAAGAAGGGCATTGAAAAATAACCCCTGCCAGTGAATGGTCGTCTTCCTTCCACTGTTGTTTCAAGTCTTTCTAAATCATACCTGTCAGGTCTCTGTAATAGTCTGTCTAGTATTGTAAGTCGTAGGTCCTGTAAAAGAAGTTGCACGCCACGACATTTTTAAAATAATTGATTAATATCATTTGTCCAATACGCTATGTGTAAGTTCATTTTAGATAAACACGATCTAGACTGTTGCTAACACGTGACCTGTTTATTGTAAAGGCGTCTTAAGAATATTCTAGTTATCTATGTTATCTAGTATTTTTAGTAGTACCTTATCATGGTTTATGTGAGTAACTCGAGATCACCTAGTATTTTAAATGTCTCTGTCTTATAGTAACAAAAACGATTGACGTTCTCTCTGACATTTTATGTTAACGTCAGACGTTAGCTATAAAATCGATTTGTAAGAGAATGCACTACGTTATTTAGATAGTGTTATCGATTTGACTTTGCGTGTAAATCAACGCGTCCGTTTGGTTTTTCATGTCTAAAACACACGGATTATCCGATCCGAACTTCGTAACTACGGTAGTTTTCCAATTACAGAGCATTACAGAGCATAATGCGACTCAGTGACGCACAATGTCGAATTATGCTGAAGCTTAATTGGAACGTGAATTAGTTTTCAAATGCATCAGCAGAGTGCGCTAAGTTAGCACAGTTTTAATTAACATTGATTATTTCTAAGAAACTACGACGAAACGAAACCCTTACAATTTTTTTCAACATTAAATAATATCACTAACGATAATGTAAACAAAATTTCGATCAATGCCAACTTAAAGAAAAAACACTTGTCAATTTTCTGTCACTGAGTCGGTATCGATTGCGAGTATCACGCGAGAGCAGTACTTTTGAGAGTGCTCGATTGTGCGAAGCGTTGCTGTAGTTGAAACATTCAACGTTGAGCATTATGCCGCATAATGCGCTCTTGTGCTGTAATTGGAAAACTACCGTAGTATACGCGATTTCAATTTATTCTCACCGTGTGCGTGACGCATAATATGTCGCATTTAAGCACACAATAAGAACGATTCCCGTTTCACCTTTAAATGTTAATGCATTCCTTGAACCTAGGTTACATTTGAATTTCCATTATACGAACAGCATCCATCAAGTGTTTGTGATTATTTTATTTCATTTTTCAATCTCCGTTATTGTTGAAGTTTTAGCACTGAGTCTTCTGTGACTGTATAGAGATTTGGAATAAATGAAATTGTAATGTTGACGCGGTCGTCAGTATTTTATCATTTTGTTTTTCTTGTTGGTAGTTGATGGAAAGCTGCTGTTTTTATTATATGTAGCATAATACTATTGACGATCAACTTTGTTTTAACAAAAAAAAAAAACCAAAGGATTGAATTGTCGAGCGACAAAGCCGGAAGTTGTTTCAAAAAATGCGTGTATTTCGTTAATTTCAGATGAAAGTTGTGAAATGTAGATAGTTATAAAATGTTCATCACCAACAATAACCCACCCTATATGTATAATTATATTGTTTATAATTTTTTATATAATGGCTTGAATACGGAAAGTTAGATAATAATAATAATATAGCCTTTTATTCAGATCTCTTGGAAAGTTAGATAGCATATTATATTAAATTGTGATATTGCTATGTAGGTACAATTTTATGATACCTTATTTCGCTCGAACTGCCGTGTTATAAATGCATACGTTTGACAAAAACAATATTTTTCATATTTTGAAACGTTTCCCCTCGTAAATGTGTATGCATAAAGAATGCGTATTCGGCAGAGGCGTTTAATGACCTCGCGTCATCGAATCGATTTTGCTGAGTAAATTTTATTTTAATAATTCAATATGCAAGCTGTACAGGAATTACTAACATATGTGGTTTTAAAATCATGAACTGGTGGTAGGACCTCTTGTCAGTCCGCACGGGTAGGTACCACCACCCTGCCTATTTCTATCGTGAAGCAGTAATGCGTTTCGGTTTGAAGGGTGGGGCAGCCGTTGTAACTATCTAACTTTAGAACTTATATCTCAAGGTGGGTGGCGCATTTACGTGGTAGAGGTATATGGGCTCCAGTAACCACTTAGCACCAAGTGGGCTGTGAGCTCGTCCACCCATCTAAGAAATAAAAAATAAAAAAATTAAATTTGCCACATTTATACAGAGTATAGAAAAGGAGTGCAGAATACGAATTTTTTTTTTAATTATCCATTTAAAATTCATTAATCACTAAAAAAAACATTACACACATTACCATGTATTTGACACACACACGTATATACCTAGTCAGGTCATAAATTCTGTCACATGTTTAATGTAAAATAATTGAAACAAGTTTATTCATTATGTAACCATTCATATACCAAAATGAACTTAACAAAACATAGATTCTTATGACACTAAAGTTTATTCAAAATGACCTCCGTGATTTTGAATACAGGCCTTCAATCTGCGCGGCCAGTCGTCTATCGCAGCACGAACGAGGTCCATGTCAATATCGGCGGCTGCCTTAATCAAGGATGTCTTGAGTGACTCCAAATTGGGATGAGGCTTTGAGCACGCCTTTTCCTCCAAGTGTTGCCATATCTTGTAATCTAACGGATTCAAATCTGGACTGGAGGAGGGCCAGTCTTCGTGCCGGATGAAGTCGATTTCACGCGCCGCCAGCCAGTCTTGTGTGCTCTTCGCTCTATGAGCTGGCGCCGAATCTTGTTGGAATACCCAGTGCCTGTTATTGAACATGGTATGAGAAACAGGTTCCACAAGGTTCGTCAGGACTGTATTTTGATACACAACTGCATTCGTTTTTACACCTTTCTCACAAAAATGTACCTCTGTTAAGCCCCAATAAGAAACTCCCAACCATACCATGAGCGAGGATGGAAAATGACCTCGTTGGACACGCGGAATACGGTTGCTCGCTTCTTCACTACTGTGTGCGTACACCTTATCATTTTGTTTGTTGTAGCTCTCTTCTACGGTAAAAATTTTTTCATCCGAAAAAAGAATTTCCCGATATTTTTTTCCCGCGTACCGCTTCAACAAAGCGCGGCATCTCTTCAGTCTCAGGTCCATTAGACGAGCATTCAAACGATGTCCTGTTTTTCTTCGATATGCCTGAAGCCCTAAGTCTTCATTTAACACCCTTTTCACCGTGGTTCTGCTTAACCCCATCTGAAGGGCCAACAGTTTCTGCTTACGTTTGCGATTTCTTTGAATTCGCGCCTTCACAGCTTTTATCACTGCTGGAGTCCTAACAGACCGAGGGCGACCACTTCTTGACCTGTCATCTACACTAGAGTCTTCATTGTATCGTTTGATGGTACGATAAACGAATCTTTTGGTTATATTCAAATTTTTCAGTATGTTAAAAATTTGAATTGGCACGTAACCGCAACGATGCAACGCAAGAACTGCAACACGGTCTTCTTTAAGCGTCCACTCCATATTTAAAAATGAGTAAAATTCTAAAAGTATACATTTTTATTTTCATGAACAATTCGAAATTCGAATTCAATAAACTTTTTTGTGGCCAGCATTCTAAAAGAAAAGTTTTTACTGTGTGACAATACTTATGACCTGACTAGGTATTATACTCTTTTGTTTATCGTTAAAGTCTGTTGTCAAATTAAGAATAGATTAATATTGTTTGTCTTTAATATTATTTGTCTATAGTGTAGCCTTGGCGAAATATGTGATTAAAGAATAAAATTATAATAATAGTCTTTGACGATAGAACAAATAATAATGTTCAAACTTATCTATATATTCATACGTGAAGCAAAAACTTTGTATCCCTTTTTGCGAAAATTGCGCTGTCGGAGGAGTATGAAATTTTGCACACTTATAGAAAATATAGAGAAGAAGTGCACAATGCTAATATTTTTTTAAAATAATGCATAAAAGATACATTAAATCAATAAAGAAAACATTACACACACTACATACCATGTATTTGACGCACACACGCATGCATACTATTTATTGTCAAACTTTTGTTCTTGACGTCTGTTGTCAAATTAAGAATAGATTAAATATTGTTTGTCTTTGTTCATATTTTTTATAGTGTAGTCTTGGCGAAATTTGTGATTATAGAAGTATAAAATACAATCATAATAGTGTACAAACTTACAATTCCAATTAATTATAGTCGAATTTCGACTACTGCGGGACCTCTAGTAATTTCAAATACTTATAGTCGAATTTCGACTACTAGGGGACCACTAGTATTTATAAATTCGTATGTCACATGAAAAGCGTATTCTAGAATGGCGGTGGACTCCGAATTAAGGTTAGCTATACTTTTTAAAATACCTCTGTAATTTATTGTATTTATCTGTCTCGTCGTCTAGACTATATAGGCCTATATGTAGGACTATATACAGGGTGGCCCATAAGTCCTTTGAAAAGTAAAATTTGAATAAAACGAACAGGGCGCGCGTGAGCGGTGCAGGGGAAGCGGGGGGAGTAACTTCGGTTTCTGGGAATTTAGTCGCGATGGAGCGTTTTACCGGAGCGGACCGTGCGTTTTGTGTGCGCGAGTTTTATAAAAACGACAATTCGGCAACCGTTGCGCGGCGTAAATTTCGAGAACACAAAGGTTTACACAACTTTGACGACACTCCAACTCTTCAAACGATTAAGAACTGGGTTGCTAAGTTCGAGGAGACCGGTTCGACGTTAGATAAACCGCGGTTGGGTCGCCCAAGGACGTCATGTACGGAACAAAACATAGACACAGTGACACAGTCTATTCGCGAAAATCCGACACAGTCAACTCGTAAGCGCGCCAGAGCATTAAACGTATCCAGGACATCGTTACAACGGATTTTGAAGAAAGATTTACATATGCACCCTTACAAAATTCAGTTGGTTCAAGAATTAAAGGAAACTGACGGTATTCAAAGACAAAATTATGCGAATGAAATGTTGAATCGGTTTACTTCCTTCAATAACATAATGTTCTCTGACGAGGCTCATTTCCATCTTAACGGGCATGTTAGTAAACAAAATTGCCGCTATTGGAGCCCCATCAATCCAAAACTTAAGCATCAGAAGCCCTTACATAGTCCGAAAGTG